GTATACCCTCTTCCCTAGATTTTTGGAGGCGTCATATTTAAAGGGGGTAATGGAGTTTATTTAACGTCAAAATCATAAATGAAATATTACAAATGTGAATAAAGGCATCAAATAACCGATTTCAATATTTTTCTTTACAGAAAATTAATGATATTTATTTTATTTGAATGCGTTTTAAGGTGCAAGATTTTTCTCGTGTTTTAATTGTAACTCTTCTTCCAAAGAGGATGAATGTAACATATAAAACGTATATGAATAATAAAGACAGGAATTTTCAAAAAATGAATTAATCGACAGTTTATACTTAAACTTAATAATCAATATATAACATTTTCCCGTATGTAGAAAAGCAAATGTAAAGATATATAGACAAGAGATAGATAAACATAAACTGTCATTGACAGGTGTTTGACACTGTTTGCAACACATTTTTGTCAACTAAAGTTATTGTGCTAATTATAGTATTAATAAAATGTACCGTAATTTCATTAAATTGAATTTTAAAAAAATCTTGAAATTAACAGATTTTGGAATTCGGTACGATTAAAAAATGCAGCTATTTATATTTTTATAGTATATTTATAAGAATCATTCTGCAATGTACATTGTATTTAATAATACCAAGCGTATTACTACCAGTCAAAATATTTTGTCAAGATAGTAATTGTTAGTCCCATACCGATGAAGCCGGAGGGGTCTATAGGTTTCCTCATCGTCTGTCCGTTGTCCGTCCGTCCCTCTGTCTATCTGTCAGTCTGTTCCACTTAGTTTTTCGCACTTTACAAATTAAAAAAAAAGGGGGGGGGGGTTCGGTGTTTTTTGTTTTGTTTTGTTTTTTTCTAAAAAATAAAAATCGCATATATTGAGCTGATTTTTGTTTTGGTATATGAGTTATAAATCAAGTTGGCATTTTCTTCCGCTTCAATGATTTTTCAAATAGGGCATTTTCAATTTTTAATGGAAACCAGGTTATACTTGGTGTGCCGATAGTGGACAATTATTGCTAATGCAGTGCTTACAGAATGCGTGAATAAATAGCCAAATGATTAAAAAAACTAAAACACATTGAGTTCATGTCTTCTATTCATTCTTAAACTTAAAAGTATTTACGCACTTTAAGAGGTGCATTATGTTTTCAGTAAAAATGAGACAATTCAGGCAAGCGAGTACCTACATGTAATTCCTCGCGCTTCCCAACTTCCTTTTGATGCTTATGTTGTTTCACCAACTTTAGTCACTATTTGATTTGCTAGACCATAGCCGCAATTTAAAATACATTTGTAAATACCAAATGTATGTGTTAAATCATATCCTGTAGAAACGTACAAATCAACATCCAGTCTTAAATGTAATCTACGTTCCCTACATGTAGACCACACGGAAATATATGTGAACCTTCTCTAACAGATTGAAGCGAGGAGGGTTTCTATTCAAAGGAATGGCTATAACCATATCCTTGATAAAGAACGTTAATGAATGGACTAATCCTCAAACTTCTCTTTAGTTCAGTCAGTCATTCGGAAAATCTAAGATTCGGCATCTGTAACAGTTCTGATAATGTGAAACCCTAAATGCATCATCGGTGCATATTTCTTCAAGATAGGGATTATAATTACATGAAAATAAGACATGCTTCAAAATATATACCCTGAGCATTCATCAAGAAAATGTAAGTCAGATATAGCATCTGAAGCAAGTCTGACAGTGTGCATCCGAAGATGCATCATGAAGCGCGTCTTCTCAACAAGTGCTATAGCTGCACTGCTCCATAAACATTAACCTGCATGCTTTAAAAACATTAACCTGGACATTCTTTAACTGAAAATGCAGCATCTGAAACCCGACAGATGACAAGAAAACACTCTAGATCAGGCGACTGTGATATGAAAAAATTGATTAAAAACTTTTAATAACCTGGAACGCCTATAACGATGGTATTATAAAAGCTCCCCAACTTCGTGTAGGTGAGCTAAATATGTGACGTTAACGTTATGCGTGGGCGACGAAATAAGTATGGAAATAACTATAGGATACGATTATGTATTCTAATGTTAATATTTTCGAGAGTTCTCTTTGGTTTAGAAAAAATATGCTACTTTTGGCTTTGTATTTTAACACGGCGTAAGATCAAGTAACCAGGAGCTTCTGATTTTAGATATGCAAATTTTAGACAATTTTCAATTTTTGGATATGAAGTGCACACGCGACACTCATCATATTTTAAGATATTAGTGTGCATAGTATATCTAATTACTGAACAAAACTAGGTGAGTGTCCCTCATGCACTTCATATTCTAACCATCGATTAATATATGCCACCCTCTTATATTTTCCCATTAGCCTAATGTTAAAGCATTTGAGGGTACATCTAAGAATGTGCCAACTGCGGCGTGAATTCATCTCATATAAACTCTTAAAATATAAATAACAAAAATATATATCTTGAATTCTAAACCAATTTTCAAGAAATAAAACGAAATTTATTTTTATGAAAATAAGTGGGCCGATAAGCGGCCTTATCGAAACTCCCCCTTTGAAGCCCTTCACCGGTATATGGTGACGTCTCTATATGAGTGAAAAATTCTCGAATGGGACGTAAAACAACATACAATCAATCAATCAATCAATCAATCTTAGTTTTATAACTTTTTTATGCATATATTTTGATATAAACAATAATAATAAAATACACCCCCCCCCCACCCCCGCAGAAATGCCTTTAAAAAGCACTAAGCTTTAAAAAGGTTTTCGAAGAAAGCAAAGCCAGGCAAGTTTATACTATACACAAACTATTTTCCATGATTTAAATGTTAAATGTCAACTGGTTAGTATTTTCCCGTTTTCAGAATAAAAAAATTGTGTTAGTTATGTAATTTTGATCTATTTCGCTATAAATGTCATAAATATATATATGTTTTTGAATCAATCTCAGGTCATATAAACAAATTTTTAAATTAAAATATTATCAGAATTTGACATACTGTGACTTACTGACTTTTACTTGTCTAGTATTATGCATCTGAAACTTTAAAACCCTTTTTTTTTTTATTAATTCAAAACAATAAAAGATAACATATCTTGCTATCCATATTTATACAAGATGTACCTCTAAATTAATCTTTTAAACTGTAGCAACGGTCCCCGGTCTCATTTGTGAGGGCGTGTGCAGATTTCCCAGACTGAGTCTCATTTTCGGAGGGTATACACGGAATCATTAACCTGTATGCTCCCAATGTTGTCTAATATCCAAATATTGGCTCATTACCGTACGTAGGAGAAAAAAAGAAATCAACAAGATATATCAGGATTCTTCTTTTTTTGAATCTCATGGACAGGATTTTGTGAAAGAGAGAAAGAAAGTGAGAGAGAGAGAGAGAGAGAGAGAGAGAGAGAGAGAGAGAGAGAAGAGGAAGATTATCGACAGAAATGAAATCTGCATACATTAAAAAAATGGTAATGGTATATTATATCATGAATGCTAAGTATTTTGACAATTTGGTTTAAATAAACTACAGTGGTCTGCTTTCATCTGAAGTACTTCTCATGTTTAAAAAATTATGTCCTCTCACCACCACCACCCAGTCCCAGTATAAAAATCTATACATCCATGATACGTATTAGCTTAAGATATCGGAGAAGATTACCCATTTTGATATGCACACATGCTGATAAGTAAAATTTAAAGACGAAATCACAAACTGTGACACTCAGATACATGTGTAAAAATATACCTTTGTCATTCTCTTGTATACATACATGTAGTGAGAATTTCCTAATTTAAGGGGATATTTAGGAAATGAACAACAGCAGTGATATGTTATTTTTTTCAGCAGAAATGCCCTACTAAACTTCAAAACATGTTTTTAAAGAAAGCAAAACCAGACACAATTATTCTATATACAATCTATTTTCCATGATTTTAATCAGTGTTACATTTAAATGTCGACTCGTTAGTATTTCTCTGTTTTCAGATTAAATGATTGTGTAAATTATGTAATTCTGGTCTAATTTGCAATTATTATCACTATGATTTGGAATCATTATCAGCTAAAATAAACGAAGTTTAAAATGAAAATACATGCATTATTAGAAACATAATATACTGAAATATTTTGACTTGCTAACATCCACATGTATTGTACATCTGAAAACATTGCTTTTTTTTTTAATTACAAGCATATTTTACATAATGTACCTCTAAATAACTCTTTTCCCATATCTGTTCATTTTAGATGTACATATGTTTTCTTATTCTTGTTTGTACCTCTTTACTGGTGTGTGCGTGTTGGGGTGGGAGGTCAGAGAGAGAAGGACTGGATAAACTGAGAATTGCATACATTTTATAATATACATGTACAGTGAGATAATTATGCATGCTTTATGTTTGGACAGTCAGATGTAAAAGGTATTACAGAACTAGTCTGTTTACACCTGAGCCATGTATCCCGTGTTTTACCTAAGAATCGGAGAGGAGTAAAATTCATATTAATATGCTCAGCGTACAAGGAGATGTGCGCAGTTTCTTGATTGTTTGTTTTCTATTATTATTAGTTTTTCTAGTTTTATTATTGTTAAACTAAGTGTGAGAAGTACGTAGTGCGAATACGTGAGCTGTGTTTGACAATGTTTATTTGTTCTTCGTTAAGCTTTCATTTGTTTTAACAGTTAATAAAAATATCTTAAGTTTACATTAGGGATCCGGAGATTAAATTCAAAGACGAAAAAAGTCTAAGCTTTAAGCTTAGTCAAGGACAAGCTGAGCGGTTTTTTTTTTGTTTTGTTTTGTTGTTGTTGTTGTTTTTGTGTGTGTGTGTGTGTTTTTTTTTGTTTCTGTTTGTTTGTTTTTTGAGTAGGTAAAGTCGAGAATGTTAATATTCTCAAGAGCTGGTTTTTCTCACGATCCTCTTAGTGTGCTGACATTTATAAACTTTAAAAACCTTAACACATACGACACTTCATTAAAACACTCAGTATATCTACATTTTTATTCAGGTACTTTTAACTATCTGAATACATACATTGTATATAATATGTCCATTTATATTAGAACGAGTTCACAAGAGATTGCTTACTCTCAGCTATACATGTACTTTTATATTTGTTCATATTTTTGTTTTACGCTTATTTAGTTTTGCTTTTGCTGTTTTGTACAGTTTTGCACATCATAGAAGTGGTTGAACCTATCTCAATGGCAAATTTCTTGCAAACTTCCGGTTCTTATTTTTCAGGGCGTACACGGACTTCTTGGTCTCATTTTCGAAGGGCGTACACGGAATCTCCGACCTGTATGCTCCCTATGTTGTCTAATGCGGCGTTCACTCCAAATATCGGGTCGTTACCGTAAACGGGAAAACAACGGAATCTACAAGATACATAATTACGTTTTCATCATTTTCCATAACTAATTAACTAAGGCTAACAATCTTCTTTCTCCTTTCTATAAGCATTGCTTTCATTTAGGACATTATTAAATGATTTTTATATTAAACAACACTTTTGGGAGCAGAAAATGGTCATCTTTGCGTATGGGATCTTAACCCCTTTCCTAGTTCAACATTACAAGAAAATTTCGTATGAATTCCTGCACAAAAATCAAAACATGCCAAGGAATAGAAAAAAAAGCAATAAATGCATTCCATTGACCAAAAACTTTTGGATTATATAAAGAAAATTTAATAGAGAGTGATTATATATTTCTCTACCAAAAATTTTATGATAATGTAATGAATATTCAGTAGAGTAATATTCTTTTACCACACGTTCTGTTATTATCTAATGAATATTCAACAGAGATAATATTCCTTTCCCACAAGCTTTGTGATCATCTTATGAATATTCAGTAGAATGCAAGGTTATCCTTACTGTTTGAGGGTCTCCAGGGGTTGTCTGTCTTTATTCCTCTCTCCCGTGTCTGGGTTCACCGTCGTTAGAACACACCTACCCAAATGTTAACATATGTACAATGGTAGTTTTCAGCAACTCCTCTACTTTCTAAGAAGACGGATTAGCAGTTATTTAATGTCTTTACCCGATCCCTTTTGATATTCTTTTCCTCATGTTCTGTGTCTTAGAGATTCAAAAATGATAGACAACTCTACTTCAGCTTTTATACTACAATACCAGAATTTGTGGCAACTGAAAGCGGTTGCTAATTAAATTTAGATGGAGTTTTGTTTGTTCATTTTGTTTGTGTGTGTGTGTAATACAGGTTTCTTTTATGTTTTTATTTGAAATATGTACAAATGTCTGCAGTTCAACGGTACGCTCACAAAATCTATAATACATGTATTTTTAGAACAAAAGAAATGTTTACACCATAAAAGATTCTAGTATACCTGGTGCAGGGATCCAGTATTCTTAAGGAGAGTGGATTCGTGTCCCCGATTCTAAGCTCTTCCCAACAATCCTACAAATAAAGTAAAAAATATGGAAAATTAATGTACCATAAAGGACAGGACAGGACTTGGTGCATCTTAATATTATACGACAATTTTCCATGAATAAAATAAAATGAACCTTATATCGGTAACATAAAATTTGAATCTTAAAATTGATAAACTTTATAACAAAAAAACTCTTTTGTGAAGTTAAATAAGATACTTTCACTGTCATATAATGAATAGAAGAATCTGTGATTAGTTTTAATAAATATATTTGTTTATGATAAACAAAAAATTAACTGAAACTTGATAAGACTTCATAAGTGTGCGAATACCTTCCCTACTAGTATGAATAATTCTGATTCTGATATGACGGTTTACTTTTGACGATAAAGGAATACCTCAGCAAAAGCTTCACATCCAGATACGACGATGTTGGGTCGAAAAGTTCTAAAGGTGACCTTTTTCTCTAGACGTTCATTTAACGCGTCTAACGATGCTTCATTCATCACCAAGAATCCACCAAAATCAGAAAACAATGCCTTAAAATGTACAGAAATTAATTTGCAACGTAAGGAATTATGACCGGTAAACAATGATGAAAGAAACAATAACAATGAAGTGGAACTCTAAAGAGAGGAACATATAATTGAATAATACTCAACACATTCACTCAGGTACAGGTGGCATCAAATGTCTGGCGGCCAAGGTCTATAATTATGTTATTATTAGCAAAATATCAAAGAAAATAATAGTTACTCAAAATCTGTTTCATTTCACTCGGTCACAGAATTCTTGCGAGAAATTCTCTGATGCTGAAATCTCTTGAAATTTGAAAGTCACTACATATATATATATACAACTATTATGGGCCAAAAATTCACATACATGTATTTGATGTTTATTCACCTTCTTACCTTCTTGCCAAGAAAGCGAAACGTGTCCTTTAGAACAGTCGCATCAACGTACACTAATAGTATGCATATTTCATCCGAATTTGTGGGATTTTGTTATTTTCAATAAAAATAATTTTTTCTCAGTAGATACTGAAGATGAAGGAAATCTTTGTCAACATCAATGGTCAGCATTATAAAAACATTTTAAAGTGTATTAGAGGATATCATCATGCTTTGGGGGGGGGGGTCTGGATATATTGAGGTCAGCAAGAAGTAGTAATTGCATACACTAAAACATGATTATGACATGTAATTGCATACACTAAAAATGTTTCTGACATCGGATTATAATAGATTATAATGATTTTCATACAAAAAATTAGACGTTATTTTTCGATTTAATTTAATGTTTTTTTCCAAAATCTTTCGCCAAATCAGAGACAGGGTTCATATATAGTTACACTGCTGGTATATCTAAACACCCAAAGAATCTTTAAATAGATAACACTCTAAATTTGGCGAGTTTGTTCATGGAAGCCTATGGATTCTAAAACGCTAACATAATTGTACCGCTTAATCAAATAGAACAGAGCTATAAAATAAAAGAACTGCGTATTGTGTGATTACTGTCTCTTTGAAAATACCATATCGCCAGGCTGTGCAGGATTTCCCCATGGTTTTATTTCCTTTGATGAATCTTTCTTTGGCATAGATTCGGAAGACACAACCAATCGAACACCCTCTTCTGCCTGGAGATATTTCTGGAACCAGCGGGCAGCCTCGTCTCCACAATCCATTCCGAGAACACGAAGACCCCATACTCTATAACAAATAGTACTTAACATCATGATTTTTTTTCTTTAAGTATATCTGTACCTAAATATTTATCTCAATCGCACAAATATATCCCTTTTTTCTTGTTACTTCACCAGACTTATCAATAAAACAAGCTACACATACACATGTACATTAAAGAAAGTAGTGCAGCGGAATAACATTTATTTCATGAACGTTCAGCTTCACCTTGTCATAATCAATCTTGATTTATCCACTGGAGGATTCTTCTTTAATACCAGGGTGGGTTGTCCCGGGGCATCCAGGTGGATGTAATCCCTGTGGCTGGATACTCGAATTAAGGCCATCTTTGAATAATGGCGCTGGCTCAGAAAGTCCCCGTTTGGTCTTGCCAACATCCATTGCCTGATTTAAAATTTATTTTATTTAGTAAGAAGATTAATTTTCATGTCTAATTAGTAATACGATTTATAAGGAATTCCACGTTTTACTGTTTTCAATACCCCCTGCAAAGTAGATCAATACGTGGGAATCGCTGCAAAGAGTCTGTCTGTCCGTCTATCACAGCCTACATGCATATCGAGATTTGGGTTTGATGGTTTGAAAAAGCTTTGCGTAACGGCTTTTGTAAAGTGGCAGTGTTACTGACCTCATGGTTTTGAATTGACCTCTGACTTACTTCTCAAAAATATTTCATACATGTATCTTTTTAATGAAAAGGGGAAGGGCTGTGATATTTACCAATATATGGCAATGCTTCTCAATTAAAAAAAATATATCAGGGTCCTTGCCTTTAGGAACCTGAACTTATAATTTGAAATACTATTTTTTTTCAAAATATTCTATATATGGTGATGATATTAAGAATGTGTAATACTTTTTAAAAATCTTTCTTAAAAATAGACTTACAGACTATGACTGTGATGTTGAACGTTTGGCCTACTTACATGTACATTGACCCTTAGTTTTTATATTAAGAGCAGTCATATGTCAGGTTTTGATACCTTCTTCTTTCAGAAAGAATTGGTTTATAGACCATGTGACCTTCAAAAAGAAAAAAAATGCCCTACACCTTTTGAAGTATAAAGAGTCAAGCTTCGATATCTAGGATTTTTTAAGAATTCTCAAAAATTATTCAGCTAACAGACATCGTGACCTTGAATTTGGGCTTTGACCTACTTCAAATAAATCACTTTTTCCTTTGATCTTTGGACCATAAAAGTCCTACTTTTTCATAATTAGCGTGGAATTGGATTTGTCAAAAATATACTAAGTTTTGACGACCTTGTGACCTTGAACTTGATCTTGTGTGCTATTCGAATATTTTTGGAGAAACATATTCTCTACATACTGAAACAGTATTATGTGAGAATGAATGTCCAGGACCATATCAGGCCTTTAAAGATCACTGAACCCTTTGCCATTTTGAACGTTGACTTTGGTTTTCCTATCAATTCTAGGGTAAATTCAAGTTTCAAATGAACTTTAATTTTCTTCTCAATTTTACTTGAACGATAAAATATAGTTAAAACAAAATCAAATCCTAAATTTTATTGTTTAATACTCTAGTCATTACTACTGCAAGATTTTATGAAACTCGATGGAGTTAAAATTAAAAGTTGACAATAAACTTTCGGGTCATTGTTTTGAGTGCGGGTTATTGTAAAGACTTTAATAATAATCAATAAAATTCCTGACCAGCATACAGATGTGTATATACTGCGTATTATAATAAAATAAATTTAAGACGACCGTTTAATACATGCCATAAAAATTCAACTTAAAATTATTCCAACCACGATGACGTCAAATTCATTATCATCTAGCAAAACGTAAGGGTGTACGTGATAAGAACAACGCAAGCCTTCATATATTTTGCACAAATTGTGGCATAAAAAGTGGTAGACTGTGCGTCATATAGATGGTAAAGATCAACAGGGCATGTATACAGTGGAAAAAAATTAAGAACAACAAATCAAAGTCCGCAAGTTCATTATATTAATAATACTCACTATATAATTAATTAATCACAGTTGCTCATTAACCATACTATTAATAGGGGCAAAGTCTTATAGACAAGTCAAGTATAGTTACATGTACCACTTAATGTAATAAGATATATCTTTGCAAGACTTGTTGCTTATTTCTTTTAGATCATTAATGCTGAATTTTTTTTTAATGTATAGCTGACTCCTTTGAATTCTTGCACGCTGATGCTTGCTTGTTGAGTACATATGCATGCTAGGCAAGTTTATCGTATACATGTGTAATTGAGTGAATGCTGCAGGAAGCAGCGTTGATTCTTTTGCTGAGTTTGAATTCCAGCAATGCAAACCTGTGAATTCTAAATATTTCTGAGGGGTATTGTGATATGCATTTACAATATAGACAAATTTCCCTGAATTTGTGCTTAGCTGGTCCATAACTTATAAACAACATTTATCAAATTTCGTTGATTTAAATGTCAGCAATGCTGATCGTATGCTAGAAGTTGATTGTGTTTGATTGTTGTTTAACGTTCCTCTCGAGAATTTTTCACTCATATGGAGACGCCACCAATTGCCAAACTTTGATCTATACTCGACACTTAGGGCCAATGAGCAGTGAGGGATCTTTTCGTGCCAGCACCTTCTGCGATACGGTCTCTTCCGAAGGACCGGTCTCCACGTCCCGCAGTGGGATTCGAACCCGTGACGTAAGGGTCAACTCCTTACACCGCGACTCTTAAGACGCTCTAATCACTGGGCCACGCGGGCGACAAGTTGATTGCGTGATTTTTAGCAGATGCTCATACATGTACAGCTTGTACTTGTAAATGCTGATTCTTCATTTTGTACTATTGAAAAATAAGTTAATATTGCCTCTTTTCTGTACTCTAGAAGTTAAAGTTAACTCTGACCGGCCCATTGAAGATTAAGTTTGAAATTATTATCGACCTTGTACAGTCATTTGACTATTATTTCTCTTAACATGGATAGCGAAATTATCACTGACCACTCGATCCATTGAAGAGAAAGTTATCACATACCGTGCCATTGAAGAAAAATTCTAATTCAGTGGAGATTTTTAATTGCCAGCGACTATAAAAGAAATATCCTCAATGTACAGTCATTGGCATTAACACGTATGCTCCAGTGGTAGAGATCTTTACCATTGGAGGTACAATGTAATTGATTGCCATCGACTCAGTAGATTACCATTTTTAACATTGATGGTTAAGTAAATGTATATTGCCACTGTCTGTGGCAGTGAGGTTATTGTTAATTGCAACTCGCTCCACCAGTGTAAATAGGTAACTGCCATTGACTCTACCGAGAAATTGAATTGTCACTGACTATACCAGTGGAGAAAGATAACTGTCGTTGACTCTACCGAGAAACTGAATTGACACTGACTATACCAGTGGAGAAAGATGACTCTCGTTGACTCTACGGAGAAGGTTAGTTGCCAAAGACTCTACCAGTAGAGATAGGTAACTGTCATTTACTAAACCGAGAAAGTTAAATACCGCTGACTATACCTCAGTTAGAGAAAGTTAAGTGACACCGTCTGTACCAGAATATTAGTCAATGTCTCTGGCTGAACCTGAGTTGATATGTACTCATCTCAATGTTGCCTTCAGCTGTACCGGGAGAAATAATTAATATGACAGACTGAAAACGCCGATTTTACCAGATTAGCGATGTAGGTATTATACCTAAACTGAATGTACATCACGAGCAATAAATCTAAACTGACTGTGCCAGATCACTAAACTGACCGTAAGTGTCCGAAATAATAAAGCTAAACTGAATGTCTAACTAAACTAAACAGACGTCTGTCTGTCTGTCATACCCTGAATCTGTAATAGATGTGGCTTTTATAGTCTGTATGTGTTTTTCTTTTCACAATACTGAAGTTAATGACAACGTGACCTTAGCCTTGATATTTGACCTTGCTTTGATCTTTGACCTTCTTTATACCCCAAGTATTTTATGCTTTGATGTGTAGCAGATTTTATAACTTGTCATATTTCACTTCAGAAATCATTAAAATGATAAAATTAATGACCTCATGATCTTCATGTTGACCTTTGATCTACCTTTGACACGAGAGAGGTAGAGATAAAAAAAATTCAAGGTTACTTGATCTTAACTGGGACCTTTTTTTTATGTCAATGAATGTACACCATACATAATCTATATTGTTTAAGGTAGGAAACATATATTTCTTAAAAATTCGACCTTGGACCTTGACGTTGAACTTTATCATACTTTCTGAAAAGAAAAACATTCTGTACGTATCTCTCTCTTGTGGACTGAGGCTTGATATCCAATATTCAGATGTATGTGTGTTTGTAAGAAACGGTTAGAAAATACATGTTCCTTGATTTTGGCCTAATACTTTTTTTTCTTTTTCTTTCTTTTTTTTTTAACATGACATTTACGGCTGACCTTTTTCAAGAGGAGAGCATGATACTAGTAATAACAGAACAACATATTTCTGTGAAAAAATAAGTTACTTTGAGAGAGTTTTTGAGATTCTCAGAGGTTAAGTCCTATTTGACAAAGGTTCTACATGTATTAGAGCACAGAATTAAGACCGAAACTTAACTTCTTAGATTGCAACTATAATTTAGTATATAACATTTAATATTGCTTATGCAGACGACATCGTTGTTCCTTAGATACATGTACTTATTATTATCATTTTTTATAATATTCTACTTTTGTGTTTTGTTTTGTTTTAATCATTATTATTGTTTTATTTTATTTTTTGTGTATTTGATTTTCTTTGTTTTTTTTTTTTTTTGTTTGTTTGCTTGTTTTTTGAAAGGGGGTGGGGTTGCCTGTTTATTACTACATGTAGCAAACAGATCACTGAGTGTTACGGTATTTTTGCATATCAATATCAATTTTCCACGGAACAGTACAGAACGAAAAATTATTTTAGAAATCCTTAATTTCTGTTTCCTTTTCATGGGTTTAGTATATTATGTAGGGCTGAGTACAAGTAAGTGATCCTTAATTATTGTAAGATGTGATCTTTCTAAGTGATTGTTCTGACAAACTTCAAAATAGTGTGTGACCAGTCATCTGAAAATTTCACTTTACAAAAACAACTTCCTTGACTTAATTTAAACACATCTAATAAAACTACTATGGCAATAGTTAATCGGGGAGGGGGCTTCATTGATTAAGTCTAATCTCATGCCGTAATATTTGTGGACATGCAGGCGACTACTCCACCTCCTCGATCTGTTCCTCTCCCCCCCCCTTTATATCTCCCATCCCCCCTTCCCATTTTCTTGAAAAGGAATAATGCTTTTGTATTTTACATATCTTTAACAAAAAAAGGAGAGAGAGAAAAAGAGAGAGAGAGGAAGGAAATATGGAGCATTAGAAATGGCTTCGATCGCGTTCACTGACCAACATTTACTTATCAGAGTTTATCCTGAAAGGTAAAAACAATAAAACGTAAAAAGTTTTAAATAATATGTCAGAGGCTAAGTGTGAAAACTTGATAATCACTGTCTGTCGACTAATATTTTAATCATCTGACAGAAATAATATTCAGGTATTCATTACGAGAAATTAAAAAGCATATTAAAGCTTATTTTTAAGCTACTTATCTCATTTGGAGCTTCAAAAAGGTAAAGAAATTGACAACACAAGCACCATACATGTAAACATTAATTCTCATTAATTTCTGTCCTCCGTCCTTTTGCCTTACATGATGAATGTATGATATAAAGAACTATGCATACCCATGCATCAGAGAGATAGAAAAAGAAAGATCTGGAGAGAGAGAGAGAGAGAGAGAGAGAGAGAGAGAGAGAGAGAGAAATTTGGAGAGAGAGATAAATACCTGTCATACATTCCCTCCGATACCAGACCTGTGATTTCTGCCCTGGCCTTCTGTAAAGGAATTCCCTGGCACGACTTCACGGGGAATATATTTAACTCTGAAACTTTCCCCACTTTCACAAAGCTCTCCCTCCTGATACGACTGGTCCATACAGAGGCTAGCCATCGCGCGAGGGAGACCGCCGAGAGGCCCAAAAGCACGTGTGCTCCTTCGTCGGACATTGTCGGTGATATCTGGACTAACCAACTATGCTTATCTATGTCTGTTTACAAACACGGCATGGTCATTTAGAATTTGGGTCAGCAACTGGAGACAACTCTTCTGTTTGCATTTTGACGTATATAAGATTCCAAAATTAATAAAGGGGAATCATATTTATTACAAATACAGTCAAAATAGTGAAATTTTTATTCAAAAAAATTCTTTTGAGGAGTTGCATGATCACAAGTTCCCATTTGTACTGGAAGTTAATTAATACTTTCTAATTTTTAATATATTCGATCAGTGCATATTATCTATTCAAGATATATTACTAAAGTCAGGTACTCTTCACACAATTGCTCCGAAGAAAATAGTTCCATTCATGATCAGTAGATAAAACATTACAACAAATATTAAGAATAATCATGTATATTTAATACGTTAAAGAAAACAAAATTAACGTTAAAAGATTTTAAGAAAATCACTTTTTCCCCAGAAAAGCAAATAAAAAGTTTTCATATTCCTACGCTCGCTGCCTCCTCAGTCTTTTTCACGAAAATATATAGGTCACACTTCGATTGATAATGATAAATCTTTTCACCAGTTATATTACTGTCATGATTATTGTTCGTTAATTGCCGTATATTTTCTTTTGAGTTAGAATGTTAATCATTAACTGTGTGTGTGTTTTTTCTCTCTTTTTTTAAATAACGGAATGGTTATTATGGCTAAACACTTCTCGGCAAAGCAACGTGATTTTCCGAGCTCAGAAAGATCTTCGCACGTGTGTAGACCTAGGCTATTTTGTCTTGCAAGAACAGGTGTGTGCACCGTTCCCTAGTGACGCTTAGATCAGTAGACTGGGTATCAGTACTTGCTACGGACATAAAGAAGTTTAGAACTATACACCAGTTTCATAACAAGTGCAGGTTTTTTACTCAAGGTGAAGCCCTAGACTGGGCTAGAGGGGCTGAGTTATGGTCATCGATCTACACGAAAATGTACTATTTTTGTAAATAAAAAACATTTCTAGAAACAAAAATGAAGTTTATCTTCAAAACGTCTGTATATTCAAAATCAGTATATGGTGGAGGAATATTCAGTGATGCTCCATAGCCGCAACCGATCTCGCGCTTTCCTTTGCGTTTAACAACGGCCGTCAATGCATCACTGGACGAGTTCATTGATTACTCTAAAAGGTGACAGGTTGGACCATCTTTAACATCTGCCTTTACTTTGAGTGATAGTACTTTTTAATAGCACAAAATTAAAAAATAAATTAAAATCTATCCTTGATAGATCTAAAGTTTTGCTATTTGTGAAAATGGGCTATCTTTGATAATCCATAACAGCTTGAACTTGATTTGATTTTTTTTTTACAGAAGATTCTATCATTGGAAAGTTAGATGGTACACATGTAGCACAGGCCCATAGTACGGGATTTTTTGGGAGCCCCCCCCCCCCCCTTTCACTTTGAAAACGTTGCTATAGGCCTGTAACATGCTATTTGGATTAAATATTCCTGAAAATGAGTGAGGTGTTAAATACATTTTTAATATTATACGATTAATTATATTTAGTTTATGTTCAATGTGAAATTAAAACTATTTTTATGCATGTGCAACTTTGTGATAATGTCACTACATGCATGTAACGTTATATATGTACATGCAGTTTGTTTCCTACTATATGCATATTTTATTCAACAAAAGATGTTGAAACTCAGTAGCCTAAATATTATGTCATTTTAGGATATTTATGTATATGGCACTTTTATAGTTGACTTTCTACAGCTTGAGTATCTCTGACGTTTTGTCAGTAAATACTTGTTTTTCTTTTTTTATTAGAAATCATCTGAACACAATGAAAATTCGAATAAATTAAAAGTCGAATATCTTGGATATGGGGTAACCCATATCTATTCTTGTCTAATGGGGAAAGTGAAATGGGAACACACAATGTTCAGGGTTACGTAAGCTGCTGTTCTTTTTTTCTTTTTTTGCGTATTTATAAAATTCTACATCATGAAAAATTCAGCAGTAATGTTCCAGATTTTTATGCACTATTTTTGTCTGTATGTTGAATATATTCTCTCGTGGGTTCGTTATCGACAAGATATATTTATAGTAAAGTGAGAACAAAAGCATGCATAATAGATTAACTTATTTATATTTCTAATGGGCTAGATGCATTTGATTCATTTCTCCGACTAACAAATTAGATAAAGAATTACATAATGCATCAAAAGTCGCAATTGAATAGCCTGATGCGAGATCGGTCAGCAACCTAATAATGAATGGCATTTGTTTTTAATAAGCAGAGAAAAATAATTAAATAATTGTTTTCCTTGCCTATATTTGAATTGCAGAGTGTTAATTGATGTTTTTCATCAAACGACTAAGCTTAAGCTAGTATGCGAAACAAATTTTCGTGTTTGACCATTGAGTGAAAATTTTTATTACGTGCAGTTGAGCTTAGTGAAGGGTAATACTGGGATCAATTTGAGTAACAGTACTTATAGAGCTGATTTCTCATCAAACAACAGATGCTGGGTCTGGTACTACAATTTCTTATAGTGACAGCTGGAAGCGAGAACTTCCTAATGTTAAAGTGTGAGCATCGCAAGATTTTGACCTTGCTTTTGGATTGAGTCTAATTTTGTCAAATATCTGGATTTTTAAATTTTTTTACTCATGATTAATCTTAACAAGTGAAATTTCAAGCTGTTGTCAAGATGTTCTCCAATTTTCACGAATTTTGCTCAATCTGATACTTTGAAAATAGGCCGTTGTGTGGTCAAGGTATATTATTTTAGAGGAAATCTGCAGTAATTTTCCATACGCCTTTAATGAATATCAAATGATTGGGGGAAAAAAGTTTAAAACGATTAAAAAAAAGTGCATATGTAATATATTTTTTTGCCTGCAAACAAAATCACTCTTGGAAACTAGACTAAAATTAATTAACGCAAATTTAGATTTTTATTGCGGGTTGCAGAACAGTTATAATATTTTCCTGTATATGCACAACTTTGGGAAAGCGGTATTAATTCAAAACAAAACTGGAGTCGGGTGGGGGTGGGGGTTCCTTCTTGATCTTGTAACATTGTAACTATAGTTGATCACAGTCAATGATATACTGACACGCAAAAGAAACGCAACAAGCAGTAAGCTACAAATATCTGAATTTTTTATCTAATAATTTTCAAAAAAATGATTACAGTAAGGTAAAACGTAAATTTAGAAAATCAGAGATTTAATTTAAACGTTGAATGTTATTTTAAAACCTCGGAAAGTAACATATAACTGTTACCCCGCCCCCCTCCAACCATTCAATTACAGCGTGCAAGTCTGCCAACCACAACAATTGCAGCTCGATTTGTACGATGCATTACATGTAGGTTCATCTGTCTCTTGATCTGAGCGAAAGAAATATTCTTTGGCATTTTAAATGCCTGTTTTTCAGATGCTGAGGTAGAATTTTCTCTAACCTGGCGCAGTGTAGTAACCCTTGGAATTCCGGTCCAGGAACTGTCATTCATGCTTGTGATACGTATGAGCTTACATGTAATGAGTTGTGATGTAGTGCATATTTGCATCTACAACTCTCCTTTACCTTTATTTTGAGAATTTCCAGCAAGAGCAATGGAAATGCGTGCTTTCAGTCATTTTGAGGAAATCTTGGCATTACTTAGTGCAATACTTATGATTAACAGATACAAACCCTTGAAAACCCAAATTATTGTCAAATGTTTTGTTAAACATGCGATTTTTGATTTCCGTTGAATTACCGATTTGGCAAAGTTAAAGATGTCCTTACTTTTCACATGGCCGTAGGAACCGGGGATGGGCACGGGACTGCCGTCCCCCCCCCCCCCCCCAATTTTGCCGGTATATTGATTATTATAGTAAACATAGATACTATAAAAACGTCTGATGACCTTTTCTTTTTTTTCTGTCAGGAAATTTTTTTTTGGTAGTGCCCCCTCAGCTGTCAACTGAAAATGTATGGCTGTGCCCCCCAAACTGAATTTGCTTCCTACGGGCCTGTTTTAAGTACAAAGTTAAACCCTGTATAAATTCTTTCTCCCTAAAATAGGATGTTGCGTGTCTTTTGCGTTTAAGTATAATATTGTAAGCCGAGCATTTTGTGAAACTATGGATATTCCAAGCTGCTTTTTTATGAATTGGCTATTATTATTATTATTATTGGGTTTTAATAGTCACAAATAAAGATGCATTGGTACATGTACATTTTCACCTGTTAAAAGAGAGGGATGGGGGATTCTATTTTCATTGTAGAGTAGTAAGTCCTGCTTAGCGGTCATTACTGAGATTAACTCGCATAGTTACATTAAGAACAATTTAACTTTTTTGGCACGCATGGTCACCGATTTCAATGAAACTTCGACTCTGCTCATTATCATAGTTTGACACAAGAAACATAAATCAGTCAAAATGTGGATGCTATGAGTCTTGGTTGCAATGGAATTTTTTTTCAAAAATTGAGATTTCGATCTTCTTTCAATAAAAATGGAACTCGTAAATTCACATACCTTGTCATTGGTCATCTGCAAAATTATTTTGATGACAACATTCTGATTCTACCACAAGTATTCCAAAGTTGATATTAAAGAAGATGCATGACTTTCTGATTAACAATTTCTATGTAGTTTTTGAAGACCTGGTCTTCCAACAATCTGTTGGAATTCTCATGGCTACTAATTGTGCTCCTGTTAGCAGATCTTTTATAAAGATAGGACTTTCCTGTAAATTACACAGTTTAAATCAATCACGTTTAAGAGATATTAGAAATTTAAAACAATAACCGATTTATTTACCGACTCCGTCTTTAAACACAGACACGTCTCCCAGTTGATTCGATACGCAAAAACATGTTCCACATACGAACAATTTCCAAAACGAGGCAAGCTATTGACAAGTAAGTTGATGATACAAGGATATCAACAGTCTCATTTAGGGTCAACATTTCGCAAATTCTTTAGTCGATACAATGACCTTGTTAGCAGATAAGTTGAATGTTGACAGAAGTTGTCAGACCATTATTTTCACTGAAT